GCAATATTTTTATCATGTAGATCTGATGACAAGGAACACAACAAAATTTATTTCAACAAATTTGGAGCCATGTAACTTGAGATCTACATTTTACAAGCTTTTTAATCCATTTTTGAAATCATTTTAGAAATCCTTTTTAAAAAAACCAGCCGAAGAAAATGCTGGGTGCACCCGGATTTGAACACGCATGTACACACACAGAGACTGACAACGGGCCCGGGGTCACGGGACCCACCACCGTCACACCGAGGCAGGGGAGGTCGCACTGTCTGTGGGAGCTCACCGTCGGCGAGGTGACCGACGACGAGGTCACCACCAACGTGACCACCTTGCCAAGGCGGACACGGTAGTGGAAGTGGTAGGGCTGGAGGAGCTCGAGAGCGAGCTGGCCAGCGGCCATGGCGGCGCGGTGGTGCGGCTCACCGTCGGCCGGCCATCTCCGACCGAGAGGGGGCGCGAGAAGTGGCGTGGGAGCTTCACCGAGCTCGGGCGGTGCTCGTGCGCGTGAAACGATAGTGAGAGGGAGTACGGAGGGGCGAGGTCCATAGAGCGGAGTGCTCCGGTGAGCTCGGCCATGACTCCGGCGAGGGAATTCTCGGAAGGGGAGCTTCCCATGGCTTACCGAGGCAAGCACGAGGCGCGCGAGGAGGAGGCGGTGTTCAGGGCGAGATGGAGCGAAGCCAGTGAATCTGGCGCGCCGAACGGCTACTCGCCGGCGATGGCGCGCATGCGCGAGCGAAGGCCAAGGCTGCTTCTATATTGGGAGGAGAGAGCGAATCGGGCAGAGAGGAGGAGCGCAGCTGGGTCGGCAGTGAAGGCGAAGCGGCGTGGCGTGAGCCGGCCCACCGGGTGCCACCCAGACGCCGCCGCCGCGCTCGGCGCGACGCCGCTGGCCGGCGCGGCTTGACGCCGGTTGGCGAGCGTGGCGCGGGTGGCGAAGCGGGCGAGGCGAGGGGCAGGCCGGGCCGGCTTGCGGGGCTAGGCCGAAAAGGAGGCGGCGGCCCAATAAGGTAAAAACGGGATTTTAGAAATTATTTTAAATTCCTTTTTCATTCAAACGAAATTTTGAACTAATTCAGAGCAGTTTCAAACTTTGGCCCAAAAATAAAAGTTGCTCAAAATTTTATTCTCTACAACTTTGCTTTTATGACCAAAGTCAAATTCCAAATATATTTTGAACTACAGATTTAAAGTCAAATAAAATTCCAAAACCCAAGTTTTGAAGAATTAGTTTAAAAGCAAAATTTGGCAAGAATTTAAATATAAATTTGGCTCCAAATTGTATCCTGATTGTTTATAAGCTATCTTAGTGATCAACCCAAGAAATCATGGCATCCAAACATGAGCATGACATTCCCACTAGTTTAAACATGATGAATTTCAATCAATTTAAACATCACATGAAATGATACGTCATTTCTTTCGAAATGAAATGCATAAATGATGCTTATGCATAATGAAATGATGATTATGCTCATAAGATGGAATGTTAATGCATGCTTAACACCGAGGTGTTACAATCCTCTACTGATATCTTTCCCTAGTAATGTCCCCAGTTGAATAGTAGAAGACATAGCTTACCGAAGTCAGAATAAGAGAACCGTAGTTATCCTCTCTACGCTACTGTTTATCCTAACCTTGTTGTCACCTTTAGTTAAGTTAGATCGTAGTTAGTCTCACACGTTTTCCTGTGGATACGATACTTTGAATACTTTTGGGTGAAAGCTATAGCGGTATCCGTGCGCTTGCGAATTTATCTGTGTGCGTTAATAAATACCAATAGCCAGTATAATCTTTGTGTATGGTATGCTACCTCTTTGATCCACTCCGTGTGATACATCGAATCACTCGTTGGTGGTTGGAAAGATCAAGTGAAGTAGACAAATGCAATAGTTAAAGGAGATTCGGTAGAGTTATTTAATTTCTTGCTCTATTCGCCTCTAGAAGAATTTACTTTTACGTTTAATTTATCTTAGGATTGATTAAATCTATAGAAAACAGTTTATAATGACAAATAGTTTATCATATGAAAATATATCCATGAAGAATACAATGCTACTTATAATTATAAAATATTGATACATTTTTTACAAAACTGTTCTTTGTTTGACATCCTCGCCTGGGACTACCACCAGTCAGGCACTTTTGTCCATCCCTAGATCCGTAAGCCAGACAAGCTTTCTAGTAAGTGAACCAAACATGCTCTTAATCAAAATTAATATGGTATAAATCAATAAAAAGCTTTAAATAGAGTCATTTTATTCTGGGTGGAGTATATAGGGAGGGGCGTCCTTGTCGAGGGCACGACAAGGAAGGAAGAAAAGGAGAAGATTGAACGAACAGGACGATAACAAGGGTTGCCCGCGGCATAAAAAAACGAGACTCTAAGGGAAGAGATGAGCAAACGTAAAGAAAAAAATAGCTAACCGCGCGATAGGGACCACAATAAAAAATATGATTTGAGAACCACTTTAGTTTAAGGGCTTGAACATAGACCTATTAAACTTGTGTTATTTATCTGAAACTTTAAGTCCAGTCTCAATAATAGTTTCATTATCAATAAATGAGGTGTAATATAGGCAAAAAGTGATGATGTGGCACCCTATTGACCAAGAAAGAGAAGAAAATTTTTCATTAGGATGAAATAAGTGTGGCTCGGTTACCAACATCTTAGAAATGGAATGACATCACACCGAGGGAGATTCATTTCATCCTCAGGTAGGTGAGGCAATCTCGTTCGGAGTTCAGTCGCATTTGGCTATCCGCTCCCTCCCCACCTTCTACAAAAAGATGGCACCTCCCTTCCAATCCGACAGCGAGCCGGCAACAACGTCTTGATGCAACGAGGGAGTTCCCGAGGGGCGCAACTCCGAGGTCCATGGATGGTTGACAAAAGAAGGGTGATTCCATTTGCTAAGAGGTCCATGATCGCCGGCGTGGGTGGCTTTTCCCTAGCAGGCGGCGCCGGCGCAAGCCGACCGAGAGTGCCGTGTAGGCCACTAAAGATCCTTGCATTTGGTCGCGCAACAGTATAGCAGTATAGTCCTTTTTTTGTAATATTGCTGGTTCGTTCGTCGCACGGTCAATCTCGCTTGTGTCTCGCTAGTGAGATTGTGCCGATATGTAACGTTTAAAACTCCTGCATTCTTAATGAAATACGAGCTAGACCCGATAGTGAAAAAAAATCGCCGGCCATATTCAGCCATGCCGCACCGCCATGAATAATGTTGATCGGGATATGAATTCTGGAGGTAGTAGCGGCTTGGATTTCCCCTACGGGAATCCACTCCCCAAATCCATGATTTGTTATAGATCTTTGCATTTTAGGCACGGAATAACATCTGAGATCACGAATTTGGTTAGCACAGGAGAAAGAAGAGAGATTCATAGAATAGGGAGCGCTGCTATCGACTTTGTATGTTTGGGCTTTATAATGCATCAGTGTGATAAATCAGTCTTATACTCATCACATTTCTTGGAATAGTGGCAGAGATATAGTTAAACCTAGTTGTCATCAGTTCTTCCTCGTTCTGAGCATTGCCGATTGTGCTCATTGTGGTCGAGTTCAGAGTAAAACCCAATAAGCTAGGGAGGGTACCAGGCGGTGTTTGATCTACGCAATTTCTCTGTAAAAAAGGTGTATCCATGATATTTTTAAGGTCGTCAGACTTCCAACAGTAGAGGTCAGCTTGTGTGCTCAAGGATCAAGCTAAATATGTTGTCAAAAAAAGAAGATCAAGCTAAATATTATTTGAAGTGGCTACATAATTCACACGGTATATTTGATCATAACACCGACTACACAACACTTTAATGATATGGTTAGTCTACGAAACTGTGTAAAAAAACTATGCATCGAGAGCGACTGCTTCCTGCATCATTTCAAACATGTAAAGTTAACGTGACAATATTATAATTTGTGAGATAAAACTGTACACTAAGAGCAAGTATAGTAAGACGACGATCAGCTTGTTCGCTTGTTGGTTTCAGCTATGGCTTATCAGTCAGTCAACGGTGTTTTTCTCTCACAACAAATCAGCACCAGCCGGACTTATCAGTCTAGAAACCAACCAACGAACAGGCCGAATAAGTGAGCTGTACGCTAAGGTAGAGAGAGAAGAGAAATGGGTTATAAGCGACATAGAAACTAAGAAATAATATAAAAGAGACGAGTAGATCATGTATTAATCGTGAATAGCCAACTACTATGAGAGTGGATTAAGAGCTAACGACGGTAAAGATTTATACGGCAAGCAGCAACGAACGGTATCAGTAGGCTTGCTCTAAAACTACTCAAAGGACTTGTTTGGGTTAAAGGAAAAAAAAATCCTATGTTTTTCTTATAAATGTAATTTTTTTTGAAATTCATGCGTTCCAAATATGCCCTAAATTTTCGTTTAGGGTCTTGATGGTTGCTCTGTCCCCGTGTTGCTGATGCCCAAGGTCGTGCACTGCTTTCAAGAAGGAACCCTGTTGTGTTGCGGGGTTGCGCACAGTACAGTACATGGTGCTGGCTGCTGGGCTGCGGGCCGGTCCAGCGGTGACTGGCAGGCGAGAAGGAACGCGTCCCGTCGTGGCACCCTGCATCCAGATTCCGGTCCACGTACGCCCCCAGCTAGCTGTCCCGTCGCCGCTCGCCACTGCGTTCCGCCGTCACATCGCCACCCCGCTCCCCCACCCTCTCCTCTCCTCGCTGCTCCCAGCAACCGCCAACCAGGACGGGTATCCCGCGACAGCATCAGGCTCTCGCCGCGTGCCCCTCAGAGCCTCCATCCGGGCCGTCCGCTCCCGCCACCGCCTCGGGAGCCGCGTCCCTTCCCACTACCACCGCCTTCCCCCTTCAGTTGCAGCACTGCACCAGCAAAACCCCGAGCCCGAGACGAGACCCCTCCTCCATCGTGGCCTCCGCCGTCAATAATCCCGGACGACCATTCCATCGCTCTTCTCTGCTGCCCACCCAAGAAACACACAGCGGAAGGAGCGCGTCCAGGATCCGATCCATGGGGCGCGGCCGGCCCAGGAAGCGACGACTGCGGTCCCGCGGGGACCACGAGGCAGCGAGGGAGGAGGGCGACGACGACCCAGCCCTCTTTCCCGTTGGTGCCGAAGTGGAGGTGCGCAGCAACGACCCCGGCTTCGTCGGCTCCTACTACGAGGCCACCGTCGAGGGGTACCAGCACAGCGACCTCAGCTACGTGGTGGCCTACTCCACGCTCAGCCGCAGGGACGGCGGGGACTCGCCGCTGCGGGAGGTCGCCGCCGCCACCAACGTGCGCCCGCGCCCGCCCCACAGGCCGCCGCCGCGGCGGGGGTTCGCCATGCACGACATGGTCGACGCGTTCCACAACGGCGGCTGGTGGGCCGGCGTCGTCGTCAGTGCCGTGCCGGTGCCGCCACCGGAGGCGGACACCGCGCAGCGGCCACGCAGGGTGTACAAGGTCTGCTTCCCGACGTCGCGGGAGCTGCTCGACTTCGAGGAGACGGCGCTGCGGCCGAGCCGCGTGTTCCTGGACGACTGCTGGGTCCCTGCTGCTGCTGCAAAGGCGGTAAGCGATCTGCCTATTCGATCCGTGCATGTTTGGGTTGGATTGGAGTGCTAAATACTAATTATTTTTTTCACTGATCCCATATTTTAAATTTTGGAACGACAACGACTATAAATGTCAAAACTTTTACGCAAAGATTATATTTTTAATGTTATTTTACTTAAATAAACTGGTTAAAATTTGGGGTCCTGGAAGTGGACATGTATTTTCTCAGCATTTTGGATATGAACATGGATTGTATTTATATAATAAGTGCTGCTAGATGTGAATTTCATAATGCACTCCAGAAAATAAAAATGCCACTTCTTTACAATTGTTAGCTACTGTATTATACTGAGCCATTTGGGCCTATAAAATGGACTTGTTAATTGAATGCTTGAAATGGATGAATCAAAGAGATGAATTAAAATTAATGGATACTGGGTTGTAATCCTAGATTGCAAGCTCAAGTAACTATGGTGAATGCCCAACTGTGCATTCTAATGCTCTTGCTTTGTGCAGAAGAATGGAACACCACTATTCAGAGAGGGAAGCCAAGTTGAAGTGAGTCGCTCCACAAAAACGTTCGGCAAATACTGGAGTCCAGCTACTGTTCTCAAAGTAATTGGCGCATCGAGTTTCTTAGTACAATACAGAGATGTCAAAGAGGATGGTGAACTTGTTACTGAGATTCTAGACTCTCAATATATCCGGCCAACAAGAGACATGGTTCACATGGACTCAAAGTATAGATTTGCCCCATCTTCTCATGTGGAAGTCTTCCGTGAAGGTAGCTGGTGGCCTGGTGTTATTTTGGAGGTTTTGGATATTGAATCAACCAAGAAGTATGTCGTGAAAATCAAGAGTCACGAGGCAGACAAGGATGATGCCGAATGTACTGATTTGTTGACTGTTGACCATACGCAGCTGAGGCCGCGCTATGACTGGTACCACAGAAAGTGGGTGCGCTGCTCGTCAGAGGTACACATAATTTATCTTTTCTGTTTTTTGAGTGTTTGTAAGCTCTGGTTTAAGTTCTTCTGCACATGGATGGTGTCCTTTTTTTATGTAACTACTGGAATGTTTGTAATGACATTATTTCACTTTTAACAAAACTCTCTTTCACAAAAAAAAAAGGTTTGTTGTTGACTGTGGTTAGTTTTTCCAAAGTCTGTACTTTCACTATGTGACTCTCAATATTAGATTCCTTAGAATATTATTTGTTTGCTCAAAATTTGTTCATCTTTGTGCACTGTTTTTGACATACCATGCCATATTGATTATTCTCATTAATTGGTTCAGTTTAGCAATGAGCATGATATTAGTATTCCAGGTCTTCATGCTTACAAGAATAAAAAAGACCTCTTTAACGCAATTGTTGGAATAATTGATTCTTTTAGTCATGGTTATTGTACTTTATTATTTTCTTCGTTCATTTATAAAGACCACATAAATTCGTTATAGTCAAACCAACATATATAAATTATGGACGTTCAGATTCCTAAAGCTATGCTGTACTGGTGTTTTTGTAATCTTTTGGCTTGTATCAACATTTTGATCAAGATTATAATTTATCACCATAATGATGTGTTGTCTTTCCCATTTCAGAAACCTGTTAATAAGGGGCCTCAATCAACATCTCGAAAAAGGCCAGCTTCTGCTGTCTTGGCAATGGCATCATGTAACGATAGTGTTGATATTGCTAGCATGGCACCATGTGTTGACAATGACAGCATCAGCTATGAATCTGGCTCACATCTTATGGAAAAGGTAAATAAAGATGTAGTATCGGAACCATTTTGGCCTGACTTGGTGTCCAATGAAAGTGATCCTACCAAGCATAAGGCAAGCACTTGTCCTGAAAAAGTGGTGAAGCAACAAGGTACAATATTGTCATTTAAGTCCCACTTGCCTACCAAGCGTAAGACAAGCGGTTATCCAGAAAAAGTGGTGAAGCGACAAGGTACAATGTTGTCATTCGAGTCCCACTTGGCACTTCCTTCACAATCATCAGCAACAGGGTTTGGCAATTTCAAATATGATCCTAAACTTTATCTAAGTGATCAACTTGAACGATGCTCTTCTCAGATGGTGGCCAAGCCCTCTGCACCACAGACTGGACAGCTGCAAGCTTCCTTGTTTGGATCATTCGGGACATTAAGGCCTCTTCCTCTCCCACAGACCCTATCTTTTATAATACCATCACATACCATAGAATTTGGCAGCATTGTAGGATCAAACAAAGCATTAGCTTATCAGGAAAAGCAATCAACTGATGGATGTTGTGATGGTATGGCTGGCGTTAACCAGAGCACCAATTTTGGGTCATTTACTGCATTCAAGAATTTTTCAGCTCATGAGGAACATGGAATGCCGAAACAGGATCATACTTCAGCCATGGTGAGGGATGCAGCTGAAGGTATCCAATCCATCGAGAATTCAGAAATAGTACAATTATCTTCTATCGGCACGAGCAACTCTACTGAAGCACGACCTGATGATACATTGATTGCACCAAAAGGTGCCATGGTGAGGTATTCAGCTGAAGGTAGCAAATCCATCGAGAATTCAGAAATAACACAGTTGTCTTCTATTGGTACGAGCAACTCTACTGAAGCAGAACCTGGTGATACATTGATTGCACCAAAAGGTGCCATGCTGAGGTATGCAGCTGAAGGTGGCCAGTCCACCGAGAATTCAGAAATAACACAGTTGTCTTCTATCGGTACGAGCAACTCTACTGAAGCACAACCTGGTGATACAGTGACCGCACCAAAAGGTTCTGAGGGTACGCCAATGTCCAAGTTTGTTCCAAGCAGAACACACGGCTCTAGTGACTCCTTGCTGCAGGGATCTCGTGATGTCCAGGAGAGCATCGTAGCTGAACAGCCTTCAGATTCCTTGGATGTTGAGGAAATTCCATTCGTGAAGACCTCCCCGTTGTGGGCACAGATTGAGGCAATGGAAGTTTTCCGTAAGGTGCCACAACGACCAAACTTTCACAAGTGCCAGCAGCACGTTCCAGAGCTCCGTGAAGGAATGGCATTGGGTCTGATGCTCTCTTTCGCCAATCTGGCAGAGAGCGTAAAGAGGCTATGCATTGAGGATGATGATGCAGTGTTCGAAGAGAAGATGAAGGGCGTTTCTTTGCTGGAAGCTGATGGGTTCGACGTGGAGCACCTGCGATCACGCCTGGAAACATTGCTGCGCATAAAGAAGGGGCGTGCCAATCTGCAGGGCACAATTAAAGATCTGGAGGAGAAGTTCTCTCACGAAGAGACTCAGAGGCACACACAGATCGGTGTGCTAAATATGACTGTCCGTCAGCTTGAACTGCAGGTTTGTCTCTTCCGCCGCATGATGCAGTCTGCTATTTCACAGGAGCTAAGTGATGCCTCGGAGATCTCGAGGCTGAAAACAGAAGTTAGCAAGCTCGAGCAGTGCTTCAGCAGTGCTACCGCATCACCGTGGTGAGGCACACCACCTGCGTCACATGCTTAGTGCTATCTAGGGCTGTCTTTTGGTGTATTTTGCTGAAACTGGCGAAACTTATGCTGGTTATGATTCTGGGATGTTACTGCATCTGCGTTCAGCAAGTGGAGAACTCTTAAGACATCTTGTGTAAGTAGTTGGTAGGGCTGCCTTGATGGGTATGGGAACTCAGCAGCTGATGAGCCTTATGCCAGGAGCCCAGGAGCATATGATTCTGGTATGTTACTGCACACCTGCCAGCCTACTAGGCAGCGGAGAGCTCCCTGGCCATTTGTGTGTAATAATGTAGTTGGTAGGACTGCCCTGGTATGGCGGCATGAACCGAAGAACCTTGTTCCATCTGTTTTGTTTCTGGGATATCACTGCACCTGTGCTTTATGTGAAGTACCATATCATCATACATGTATTCTAGGCCGTCGTGTTTTGCTTGTTTGGTGCCTGGACAATCTGGGAAGGTTGCAGGGCTTGTGCTGGTAACTGAATGATCTTGAATGACATGTACTGTTTGTTGGCCCACGGGATCACCGTCCGATGATAGTGAACTAGTCTCCAGACCAGTAGTCTCAGACCACTAGTCTTCCAAACCACTAGTCTCTTAGACCAGACCACTAGTCTTCTAGACCATTAGTTTCTCAGATCAGACCACACTAGTCTTCCAGATCAGACCACTAGTCTTCCAAATCACTATACCGGTTGTGTCTGTACCCACACACTACGGATCGAGCTAAAAGAAGAAGGGAGAACAGAGCAAGCACGCACAATACAAGACAACAACGTTGGTCGAGGCCCTGTCTGTGTGATGGCAAATCTGAGCTCTCTTTACTGAGTTGCCTTGGTGCTCTATTTATACAACTTTATCTATCTAACTAAAGTACAACACATACATGTCTTTATAACAATAACTAGATAAGCATACTGTAGGTGACTCTGCCATGACCACGCATGTGCCTACAATGCTGCAGGTGAGTCATGCGGCGCTGCAGCAGCTCTTGTATTACAAAGAGGGGGCAAAGTCAGGCGCCGTCTTCCTCTCTCATTGTTTCACACAAGGTGGCAATAGATTAGCTAACAATCTTCCCTAATCCTCATCTAACCCTTGAACCCCTCCATGCCGATCATCTCCTTCACTCCGTGAGTCAAGTCGTCCGAAGCGGCTTGGTGAGGGCGTCCGCGAGTTGCCGGCCGGTTTCGACAAACTCGATGACGATCGCCCTCCATCAACATACCCCGAGGAAGTGGAACTTCACGTCGATGTGTTTACTCCGGTCGTGTAGAACCGGATTCTTCGCGAGGGCGATGGCGGGCTGGTTGTCCACCATCAGTGCAGGTGGGTGAGCTTCCACGCCGGTTAGCTCGCCCAGCAGCCGGCGTAGCCACATAACTTGGCACGCCGCTGTGGCCGCCGCTACGTACTCTGCCTCGCATGTAGATAGCGCCACCACCTTCTGTTTCAGCGACAGCCATGAAATTGGGGCCGACCCGAGGAAGACGAGTACGCCAGAGGTGCTCCGTCGTCCGTCGATGTCCCCCGCCATGTCTGCATCGCTGAACACCGTGAGCTGCAGCCTACTTTCCCCGGTTTTTGGGAAGATGATTTCATGATTCACTATCCCCTTGACGTAGCGTAGTAGCCGCTTCACCGCAGCCCAGTGATCCTCTCTGGGATCCTCCATGAAGCGACTGACGTAGCCCATGACGAACGCAATGTCCGGTCTTGTGTGGACTAGGTAGCGCAGACCGTCGACGATGCTCCGGTAGAGTGTTGCATCTACTTTCGCCATGGTGTCATCGCCGTCGCCTTTAGCCGCTCCTCCATCGGAGTCACGCATGGCTTGCACTCCACCATGCCGCTCCTCTCCAACAGCTTGAGGCATACGCGCTTTGCCCGAGCGTGAGTTCCTCTTTCCCTGTCTCACCTCGATCTGAGGTAGTAGGAGAGAGCGCCGAGATCGCTCATTCAAAACGAGCTGCCATGTCTCGCTTGAAGCTGTTGATATCCTCCGTGCGCTGCCGCGGTGACGATTAAGTCATCCACATACACGCCGACCATGAGTTCTTCCTTCCCCGTCGTCGTCGTGTAGAGCGCGTGCTCGGTTGCGCCTCTCTGAAACCCAAGCTCGCCAAATGCGGTGTCAAGCTTAGCGTTCCATGCTCGAGGGGCTTGCCGCACCCGTAGAGCGCTTTGCGCGATGGAGCACCTCGTGCTCCTCTCCCTTGACAAATAACCACGGAGGTTGCCTGACGAAGACCGTTTCCGCTAGCTCGCCGTTGAGGAAGGCCGATTTAACGTCCAAGTGATGGACGCGCCAGTCCTTTGCTGTCGCCAAAGCAAGTAGCAAACGGACCGACTCCATGCGCGCTCTTTCGTGCAAAGACCTCCTCAAGTCGATGCCCTCGTCTTTGACAAAGCCTCGAAGCGACGAGGCGCGCTTTGTACTTGACAATGGCGCCGAGCTCGTCCTTTTGACTTTGTACACCCACTTCAGTCGATCGGACGGCATCCTCGGGGTGGATCGACAAGTCGTCAAGTCTCGTTTTCCTCGATCGCCTTCATCTCCTCCAAAGATTGCCCGTCGCCAGCTTTCCATCGCGCTCGGCTAAGCGCGAACGCAGGTGGTTCCTCTGCACCGACGAGTAGCGGCTCTGCGTCGTTGAGCGACCTACCCGCCCGAACTGAGGGACTGTGCGCCCGACGATGTCGCCCGACCTGCGGAACCTCAACTCCTCACCTTCGTGGTAGGCGTCCACGAACTCAGTGATGTCACTTGGAGGTGAGGCGAACTCGATCGGGGGTGATGGAGTTCCTTCTTCCGCCGGAGTGCCCTGCATAGCACCTGAAGTGCTCGGCACTGCTTCTGGACGACGACGAAGGTGTTGGTGAAGCCTCCCGCTTCCCCCGTGCTCGGACTGTGCCAGTCCCAAGCTGCCTCCTCGTTGAACACAACATCGCGTGAGACAGTCACCTTGTCTCCGCGTGGGTCATAGAGCCGGTACGCCTTGGTACCCTCCGCGTAGCCTAGGAACACCATAGGTGTGCTCCTGTCCTCCAGCTTGGTGAGGTTCGGCTTCGTCTTCCTGACGTGGCCGATGCAACCGAATGTCCGGAGGAATGACATGTTCGGCTTGCTCCCGTACCAAGCTTCAAACGGCGTCTTGCCCGTTAGGGCTTTGGTTGGAGCGCGGTTGAGGATAAACACCGCCGTGGTCACCGCCTCTCCCTAGAACTTTGCCGGCATCCCTTTGGCCTTCATCATGGAACGGGCCATGCCGACCACTGTCTGGTTCCGTCGCTCCACCACGCCATTCTGTTGTGGCGAGTACGACGCGGCGTGATGTTGCCCCACACCTTGATCCGCGCAGTACGTAGCAGACTCCACCGAAGTGAATTCGCCACCCCGATCAGTCCTCAGTACACGGAGCTTCTTGCCGCTCTCGGCCTCCGCGCGCGTCTTGATCTTCTTGATCGCCACCGCCGCTTCGTCCTTGCTCGTCAAGAGTTGCAGCCACATGTAGCGACTGCCATCGTCCACGAGCAGGAGGAAGTACCACCGACCACCGCATGTAGCAGGTGTGATTGGCCCGTAGAGGTCACCGTGAACTAGCTCGAGAGCTTCCTTCGCGCGATACTTGGCCGCCTTTGGGAAAGGTAGCCTCCTCTGCTTCCCGGCCAGGCAGCTGTCACACAGCTCACCTCCGTGTTTGATGTGGGGTAGCCCTCGGACCATCTTCCCCAGCCGACCAAGCGCGTCGAAGCTGAGATGTCCGAGCCGGGCATGTCACATCCACGGTTCCTCGGAGTGCCTTGCCGCCAGGCAAACCGGCTGCTCTACCTTCAGGTCGAGCAGGTACAACCGGTTCAGGGACCTCTTTACCTTGGCGAGAAGTCGCTGCTCCCGGTCTCTGATCCTCAGAACGCCGTCCTTGATCAGAACCTCGCTACCGCGCTCATCCAGCTGACCAATGTTGATGATGCTGGAACGCAGCTGCGGGATGTAGTATACATCCGTTAGCGCGCGGTGCTCCCCATTCTGGTATTTGAAGATGATGGTGCCGCGCCCTTGGATAGCCACCCTTGAGCCGTCACCAAACTTCACCGTACCGGTAACATCACCGTCGAGCTCGGAGAAGGAGTCCTTGGAGCCTGTCATGTGGTTACTGGCACCAGAGTCCAGATACCACCGCTGCTCCTGGTCGACGCCCACATGCCCAAGATGGACTTGGGTGCGTGGTTCGTGGAGGTTAACGGTCTTCAGGGCCTTGCTAGATCCTTCCACCGTCGTCGCCTCTTCCCTCTCCATGGCCTCGACGTCGTGCAGTGCACAGAACATCGCCATAAGGATAGTGGCCTCATCCTCATCATCGACTTTCGCTAGGTGAGCCTGAGCCTTCTTTTCCTTCTTGCGATTTGGGCACTCCCGTGCCCAATGGCCCATCTTCCCGCAACACCGATAGGCGTTAGAGTCGATTTGCTTCTTCTTCGAAGAAGCCCTGCCGCGATGTTTGTCGTTGCCACCGCGACTGGAGGAGGCTGCCTTCCTGGAGTTTCGCCGAGCAGCCCACTCCTCTTCCGTCAGTAGGAGTTTGCTGCTATCCTTCGTTGTTGTCGCCTGCCCCAGGCGCTCGTCCATCACCCGTAGATGGCCTGCCACATCCTCGATGGTGAGGGTGGACAAGTCCAGCATCGTCTCTATGGAGAGAGCGATCTGGATGTACTTTGTCGGCACAGAGTGGAGGAATTTGGAGACCGCCTCCTCTTCGTCGATGGTGATGCCATGGCTCTTCAGCTTGCTGATGAGCGTCTGCAGGCGGAGGAAAAAGTCCTCCACCGTTTCATCATCCTTGAACTTGAGGTTTGTGTACTCCTGCTTCAGAAGCTGGGCCGTCGCCTTCTTTGCGCGGTCGGAACCGACGCGCATTGCCGCAATGGCCTCCCACGCCTCCTTAGCTGAGCTTTTCGTCCCCAACGGTTCCTCAGACTCACG